ATTATACATCGATCGATAGAACTGGACGAGATCTATCCAACAATGTGAGTTTTTTTCTATGATACATATCGTAGTGTAACTTATAGAAGGACATCTTTCACCGTAGCGTAGATCTAAGGTTCTAGAGAACTTCTAATTTTGAGCTTCTTCTTGATAGTAAAGAAATGTACATCAATCGGTAGAACTCATCAAGTTGAGTCGAGTGCAATTACATTTCGGATGTAGCACAATTTGTAGAGCGAATCCGTAGATGAAATATTTCGTGCAACACTTATTGTATAGGTTTTAGAAATCCGACAGTCTCATTAGTTTTGTTGATCATAATATTACGGACAACGTCAGACAGAACATGTTGAACTGCATCGAATAATAGAAATTTTGGAAGCGACACAGATCGTGGACCGAATGTTTATAGAGAATACTTTATTTTTCTATTTTCTACTACAATTAAAAAAAATATTTTTATTTATTTCAGTTGTTTTCTTTTCTTTTCTTTTCTTAAAACCAAAATATATTATTCAATAGAGCTCGTCGAGCTCTATCTGACATGCAATATGAGTTTATTGAATGTAAATTTCATTTACAAACCACTAAGAAACCTATTTTTTGTTTCGTTAATATTTTTGAAAATTCATCGACATTGATGAAGGAATAAAATTCTTTTTGTTGAAATTCTCAAAAAAAAAATGATAATAAAATTCTGTAACAAAAAATACAGTCGAATAGACTTTTACATTTATAATAAACGTATGAAATGATAATGCTTGTCTGATGTATATCAAACAATCTAGGCAGAAAACTCGAGACAATAAAAATCAAATAAAATAATTCGATAGTTTATGTTAATCAAGCAACATTATTCAGTTAATTTATTTAATGAATAGATCGAATCATTCAAACGAATTGTATTTGTTTAGATAAAAATTTTCAAAGATTTGGCTCGCTCGAAAAAAGTCGGTCAATAGGCAGACATAAGTAAAATTATTTTTCAAATTGAAATCTTATCGGAATCGGCATCGTCTTTCCAAAATACAAGATGTTTGGAACATCATTAGCGTAAAAGAAAATTGTATATCTTCATTATGGTTCTATTGGATGAACTAATTTTTGTACTTGTGGTAGAGGACAGTTCAAGTTTTTATTCATAAATATAAAGTTTTCGAATATTCCTAGAAAGTAGCACTTTTAAAGTCTTTTTAGTAGCAAAAAATAATGTTTAGGATTCTTTTTTCTTGGATTTCTTCAATTTTGTTTCATTACTGTAAGCTTCCTGTCATCAAGGTCTATTACTCTTTGTTTATGAGCATCTGTTGGACATTTTTAACTAATTAGTAACATTAATATCAACTATACTGTTCGTAAACACTCGAAAGTTGCGTTGGTTTAGTCAATTTATCTTTCATTAGAGTTTTTGATATAGGACGAACAAATTGTTTTGAAGAAATATACCACTCAATCTAGGTTTTTCAGAAGTTCTAAAAAAATGGTTATAAAGAGAAAAAAGTCTGAATGACTGGAGGCTTACAATAATGCAACAAAATAAAATAAAATCAAGAAAAAATCCTACATATTATTTTTTGCTACTCAAAAAAGGCCTTTAACAGTGCTACCTTCTAGAAAATATTGGATAACTTTATATTAATGAATACAAACTTGAAAATATTCTCTACCACAAGTAAAAAAATTATTCCATTGAATAGAATCATACAGCAGATATACAATTTTCTTTTTTGTCATTGCCTTTTTAGGCATCTTGAATGTATCTTTCGAGAGAAATGCATTTTTTCTTGACACGAAGTAGTGATGTTTTTAAATACTGTTCAAATAAATATCTGAACAACTAATAGAATTCCTTTGTTAGAACATAAAGAAAACTTATATTGTCTTTCATGAAAATGCTTCTGGTTCCAATAGTTTTGTAACTTTAAATACAAATTGCATAGGAATCGTCCATCCCTATCCTGAGTTATCGACCTTCGATTCTGTCCAACTTTCACAATATTCTCTCAAACAATGACTCAATCATGATCCACTCATATTATTGCATTCAACATATTTTTAACACATGAATGAACATACATATTTGATTTACCAGTAGTTGAGGTATACACAAATGTTTGATAATACATTTGGCCATTTCAAAATCATGAAATTCTCTCGAATTCATCAATATTTTCGGATTGTTCGATTAGGAACTAAAAACTTTTTCAACATAAACATTTGTCTACTTTTTCATTTTTCGTACGAGCATTTGTCGATTGTTGTTGTTTCAAAAGAAATTTCATTCGTTTGGTTGCACACTATTTTGTATGCAATGATGAATCAACAGCAGCAGTTGAACAAAAAATGTTCTCTAGATATAGAGTTAGAATTAGAAAAGTAATTGATGATGATGTTGTAATTATTGATGAACAAGGACACCTAAGCAAGAACATTTTGTTGAATGTGAACAAAATGTTTTTACGGCAATGACAATTTTATCTTTTTTCTTTGCTTTCTTTCGTATATTTCCTATTCATTACAGAAATGTTTTAGCTAATAAAAGATTTACATGGTACGTTTGAAAAAATACTTTACGAAAGATACGCAACATCTCTCAAAAACTTTTATAGTTTACTCAGGTTCAGCAGATGGACGTCCATCATAACATCGAATCATCTGAGACCAATTCATGGTTTTCCGTTCAGAAAGGCTTCGGTCCATGAGCTAGGCCTAGTCTTTTGAAACTTCTGATTTGTATTGCTTGGAGAATATTTATGTCAATTGAATGTGTTCAGTCTTCATATTCTTCTATTAATTACTAGAGGTCGAAAACAAACCAAACCGAACGCGAGCCATTGCTTGAAAATTGATGCCGAACTGAATCGAAACTGAACTAATTTTCGAAAAGCGAATGAATGTAGACAAATGGATAAGAAACAAAATTGATTGAATTATCACCTTTTTTGCTGATACTTGTCATGCTGTGAACTATGATCAAATGAACGTTTGATCGATTGATTACATGAGAGACCCAAAACGAGCCGAACCCGAACTGATTTTAAGAAAAGAAAGGTGAATCAAACTGAATGTGAACTACTGTAGTAAAACTTGATTCGATTCGATTTGTATTAACTATTGTAACAACCATTTCATAATTCTTTTGTTTCAATTATGTTTCATATAGTTGATAGAATCTCTTGAATAGGAATCTTTTAAACTTCATCGTCCTATTATACGAGAAAAAAACAAAACCTCTATTATATTCTGATTTTGATCTTTTTCGCCGTTTATTAATGCTGATTTAGTTTCTTTTAAACAATTGATCATAAATTATTTATTCTATTAAGCAAGAATAAAAATAAACACGAAGTCCTATCATCAATGCACTCGTATATTGATCGAAAGCTTAATTCGTTTTGTTTTTCAATAATATAAACAATCACTTCGATCACATGTTTGCTTTTCTTTTCTTTTTGATAATATCACGTAGATTGTTCTTTCGTCATAAGTCATGTTTTGTTTTTTTCCGACATTATTCTTTAATAATAAGTGTCTGTATTGTTATTCAAATAAAAGCAAACACTATTTTCATTAGATTTGTATCTTCATTATTAAACATATATGAAGCGATTCAGCAATAGTTGTTTTTATCTTATTATCTTTCTTTCAAGGTTGCTTCTCTTAATCGTCAAAGTATTCAAGAGAAACATGATTCATGTAAATAAACAACAATAAATTGAAAATTTCTTCAATCAATCATAGTAATATGGTCTTGTTGTTGTAAAATCAAAGTAAATGTTGGAGAGAAATATTCTAATGATTAGTTTTTGTTCGTATTCCCAAAACACAAACAACTTCGTTTAGACAAAAGTTGTTTGCCGTTGTCATCATACATTGAGTACCAATCTATTATTATCTTATATTTTTTAGTAAACATTTAACATGTTGCTAGAATAGATTTTGTAAAATTGTTCTCATATCAGATGATATTTATATGAAAAAAAGAGTCAAGTACAATATGTTGTATTGTTATTATTGTTTAATCTTAACTCATGGTTCTCATTGGTATGTAAACAAACAAAATTCAAAAGAATACAACGTGATACACCGTTCTCGTAAAAAATAATCCAATCGTGACTACAGAGGACGGAATATTGTTGTCAACTTTTATCGTCCTCTGAGTGATCGACAGATTAAAAAGTGTATTATTATTCATCTCCGTCCTACGAAGTATATTAAAGTAATTATATATGATAACCCCTATAAATTAGGAATCATTCATACCTGTAATATCGTAACGATGCGTTTTCTTATATTTTTCTTCATCGTTTTTATTTGTAAGAAAGGAAATGGATCGCTATACCAATGTAATGAAAATGCTGCATGTGGGTGTTCAACTAAATTTACTCATATATCACGTATTATTGGTGGTGAACCTGTAGGTCGAGAAACTTGGTCATGGACTATTTCTCTTCGTCAATATGGAGAACTTATATGTGGAGGATCAATTCTTTCACCATCATTCGTTATTACTGCTGCTCATTGCTTTAAATACGTAACTAATTTAAAAAGTGTCACAATTATTGCTGGATCTCTAAATCAGAACCCTTCATTAAATGATTCAGCTCAAGTTCGTTCAATTGGTCAACTCTACAGGCATCCTAATTTTGATCCTATTTGGGATTTGAATGATGTGGCTCTCATTCGCTTGTCTAGTCCATTAAATATGAGACATGGAAAAATCAAACCAATCTGTTTACCACCTGGTACTGTTCCTCGACCACCAGACAATATGAATTTGGTCGCTGTTGGTTGGGGTACGATATCAACGACGGAAGATCAACTTCCTTCAACTCTTTATCAAGTTACAGTGAAATCCATATCAAGTACTAACAGTGGATGTAAAGACGTTTTGAGTGATAGTAAACTACATTTTTGTGCTGGAATAATAACTGGTGGCAAAGGTAATGCATCAATCTTAAACTAATCTACTTAAGTCAATAATTTTTTCTGTCTACAGATACTTGTCAAGGTGATAGTGGTGGACCATTAATGGCATTTGTTAATAATGTTTGGCAACTTTATGGTCTCACTTCCTATGGATATGGATGTGCATTACCGGGCTCTCCAGGAGTCTACACTCGAGTTACTCACTATGTAAAATGGATCACATCAATAATGGCACCCAACAAGATTACAACAACTAGGACTACCACAAAAAGGAGACCAATAACATTTAGGACTACTACAAGATGGAGACCAAAGACAACTAGGGCTACTACAAGAAGAAGACTAACGACAACTAAGGCTATCACGAGGAGAAGACTAATGGAAACTGCGACTACCGCAAACAAAAACACTAATAAGAACTACGACTCACACGAGCAAACAAAAAATACCGGCTAAAGGGGCAGAACTAGTGTTTCAACTATCAAATAATGATAACTATTGAACCATTCAATCGTTGGTTTTTATAGTTTTTCTGTCGATCGTAAACAGTTGATATTAATTTATTTTCTTATTTCTTCTCTTATCTTTTTATTGTATTACCATTTACTGAACAATAGAACATTATAATCTAGCATAAATACAATATTTTATGTTAGTGAAGTAAAAAGAATATTTTTATATTATATTTTTTCGAACTGTAATTTAGAATTTTGTCTCTATGCTACAATAAAAGCAATAAAACGCAACTCACAGCTAAACACATAAATATACAGAGAGTTTGTGTTCTGTTTGAAAAATGCTTAACGAAGAGATGGTAAACATATATAATGAAATGACTCGCATTCGATATTTCATCAATAACAAATACCAAAAAATAAATCAATCATTTCAACTTTTCACCTAAGCGTTTTCTAATAATAATAAGAAATGCATTACTCTATCATTAGAGAATGCAAAAAAGTTACTAGAGACATATACTATAGATAAATTTCAAATTCTATCATTTGAATCATCAAAAACTTGTTTTGAGGAAAAATAAATTTCATGGCCAGATAACATATCCGTTTAATAGCGAGTCTTCTTCAGAGATGCGCTCGAACCTCTCATTACGTGAGTTTTTTTTATGAACAATTATTTCTAATCAAACATCTGTTATTCTATTCTGGTTTTGTATCTTGATTTCGATATAGCATAATGATTTGTATGGTTAAAATGGTGGAATATGAGCATATTCTATAATTTTACTAGATAAAAGAATTTGAGATTGTTTCGATGTTTTTGTAGCAATGAGGAATAACTCAATTCATATTAGATAAATTTATTTTCTATATTCAAAACAAATATCATCATTCGAATGAATTTGATTATCTTTCAATCAATCATACAATACTTGTTTTATATAACTTGAAAATTATGTGATGCACAACTAAAAATACTGATTTGAAATCTAGCATCATACGATTAGAGAAGTTGATAAGTCTTCGATGAAAAAAAAATAACTTTATTTCTTTTTCGTCTGTAATCATACATCTGTATGTTAGGGGATTTGGCTTACAGTAGTGGACAAATGTTCGCTTCCAGAAGATCTCGGTCACTCTATATGCTGAAGGTCTAGAAATATGTGTACACATACTTCGCCAAGAATGTAGGTCATTAGATTTGCAGCGCCGTTATTGCCTAATTACAAAGAGTTATGATCGACGACGTCATCTTTTATTTTGAGCATTATAACTTAAGATAGACTCTCCACAAAATATTGCGTTGTTTCTTAGTAGAAATATAACTAATTCTTCCCTTTAGGACCAACATGGTCGTGGGCTTTTCATTGCTAATAATAAAAAAATATAACTAATTCTTGATATTTTTGCATGTAGCTGACATCTGTGTACGATATCTCTTCACCCAAAAGATAACTTTATTCTCTGGAATATTGATGTTTCTGGATGCTTGGAACTAACAAGATTATCATCTATGTTCCATTTCTCTTTGGTGCAAGACTCGCTTCTGAAACTTCCTTCAAAGGGCAGTAGATGGTTTCTCTCCACAACAATCAACATAGTCTTTGAAAGAATTACTGTATTTCAATGAAATTAGTAATGTAGATAGCTGAGACACGGCATTACATATTGAGAAGTCGACTGATACAGAATGCTCTTCCTTCTTACAGTTATGAGGCTGACAACACAAATAGGTGTCATCTATCATAACTCTCTTTATAGTTAAGCAATAACGACGCTGCAATGCCAATAATCTACATTCTTGGTGAAGTGCATGTACACAAATTTTCACATTTTCAACACATACAATGATCGACATTGACTAGGGTGAAGACTTTTATCTATTAATGTAAATTTTCTATTGTATATGAGCTGATTTTTATGTATTGCCAAAAAATGTCTTCCAAAAAGATATTTACAGTTCGAAACATTCGTTTCACTTGCACATTCGTCCATACTGTCATTAGTAAGAGCACATATTATACTGAACGGTTTACCGACAGTTTCTTTCTTGTATGGATCATATAGTACTTTATTTTGACTTTTTTTTATTGAGATTCATTGTGTTTCAAAAGATTTCTGTGAAGTTATATATATCTAAACTCTATAATTGTTCATTCTATTAAAACAAACGATTTGAAATATGTATATATTCATTTTTATTATTTTATTACAAAGAATACTTTTCATTAAAAGTTATTTTCTCATCGATAGATTGTACTAGAAAATCATTTATTAAATGTCTGCGATGAATTATGAGAATGATGATCATACAGGTTACAGTTCACGACAAAAGAAAAGTGAAAGCTAGTTATTTATGTACCATTACAAAATGTATCCCGCATGTGCACAATAATTACATAAGAAGATTTTTTCACTTCATATTACAATAGTTTATCTTCACATATATATTTTGAATAGGCATCAGTTTTTGAATATTTTTATGAGACATTTACTTTTGATTGTTTTCTTTTCTAATGTCAAGTCGAATAATAATACTGTTCGAATATTAACAAATAATCACATAGAATATATTATTCATTGATATTCTATGACTTATTGTGAAGAAACTTAGATGAAAATGTGATTTATATTACGGTTGACAATGTAGTTCATAATATGCCAGTTAAACATTATGTGAACATAATTTATTAATAAATATTAAAATAAATCTTTTGTTGTATGGAGCTACTAATTAAAAGATGTTTCGACAGAGCATACTATGATTCTTAATTTTCAATGTCGAACATTAGTTTTTATACTAATTGACTATTCATTTATATTTGAACAATATGATGAATCTATTTAAAAGAAAATGGTTTGTCATTTAATGAATATAGTTGATAATCGATAAAAACTATTGATTACTTGAATTGTGTTATCATTCATCAATAAATAAAATTTGTATAGATTATCAAATATAGACAATCGACAATTCCTTTCGATCAACTTTAAACTATGGTAAAGACTTCCTTGTAAAGAATCGAATAAGTTTTCTTTATTCTAAGAAAAAGTCGCCTGGGATTTAGACTATTGTGGCTTAAGAGGACATATATTAATATTTTCATTTACAAATCAAGAGAGAGAAATCTTATTAATAAAACTCGTAGAACTTGTAAGAGAGTTTTCCTAACACAGAAAAAAAAAACATTTTATTTTAATTGAAACCTACAAGATATTTGAAAGACAATTAGATCTATCTGCTGACAATATTTCAAATTGAAATTCTTTTATTCAATTTTTTACTGAAAGATCATGAGTAAGCGTTTTTTTTGAAATTTTCTTAGTCTCATGCACATCGATGTTTGCTTATGACATAGAGTCGTAATTTGTGAGAAGTTAGAGAGATTTTCACATGAGTTTATGCAAGGTCTATTGATATGATTTCTCTCTTAATGAAAGTATAACTATATTTTTATCTATAAAAAGACGTTGCATTAGCTCAAATCCTTTCAAACTTTTTCTTAGAATAAGATCCCTCATAAGCACGTCAAATATCAGTAAAAACGGTAGAGATCAGTTGAAGAGCTTCTTCTCTCGTAAGTTAATGACTTGCCACATGTATTAATGTCTTTTCTTGTTGCAATAAATATAAGTAAAAGAAACAATTATAAGCTAAACGATACGAAATATTTGTTATCTCATTACTGTAACGTTTGGATCAATGACTATGATTGTTCATTTTCTTGTTTAACTGGGTAATAAGATGATTCATACGTGAGTCGATATTCTTTATTAATACAGTGCAAAGCACAACAATTAAGTAGCCCGTTGTATATGCATACAACGTCCATACTTGACAATGTCGACAATGACTATCCGAGTCTACTTTGTGACGTAATAATTCAAAGAGCTGAGACTCACTAGAAATCCATTTTGAACTTTGTCAGAAGTCTTAAAGTTCGAAGATGATACAGTCGCTTTCAGATCTACGATAAAGCTTTGAGTTCGGGTTCTGTGAACTCCACGAGAACGACATTTTTGAGTTGAGAACTTCTTTTTTCGCTGTAGTTCGGAAATAATTAAACTAAAAACAACATAAAATGTTACCTGCCACTTTTTTAAACAGCTGATCTTATGCATTGCAGAGTTTACACGACTTATTATTCGTTGATTATTTCGACGAAAATACATGAGCTAATGAGTAGCTGACAATAGATAATGAATCAAATGAATAATTTAATCGACAATCAAAAGTGTTCTTTTCTAGAAACATACATGTATAGAACAGTATCTGTAGAGTTCTTATAGTAATGAAGTCTGTCATGTTTACTTTCCGATTTCTCTTTGATTTCGATCCGCTAATCGAAAAGTAACATTTTTCTATGCATTGATAGAGAAAGGAAACTAATTCGGCTAGGCTTCAAATAGTTAATCATGGCAGATATAATGCTATATATATTCATTTACCAATTGCTAAAATTACAAGTAACGTGAATCAAAAATCGATTCACTGGGCCCTAGACTGACAGAATTCACCCATGCAAACGTTTGAGCAGCAAACAATGGCGACTATTTCTTTGAGAGATCCTGAAAATTCCGAAGGCATAGCCGCATAAGTTCAAGACAGACGACGATAG